TTCAGACATAGTTTCTTGAACCTGATTAAACGTCTTATTATGTAGAATAAACAACAATTTTATATATAATCTACCTCCTACATCTTGAAGTGCGGATGTTCCAGGTCCTGCGAACCACAAATAGGTGAGTGTTTGCTCATAAGCAGAATTTTTATCATTCCCTCCAGTCATCTTTGTATAGAATATGCTGTGTTCAGTTTTAGTTGAGCTATCTTCATCCACTTTGTGAGTGACCCTGAAATGTTCCATGAATTCACGTCCGTTATAAAGAGGCACCATTACATTTATGTAATGCTCAATTTTTTTTTTCGACTATGAAGCAGTATGTACAGAATATTTTCATCATCACTTGAATCGATATCTGAGATCCAATCAGATTCTGAAGATGAAGTATAAGAATCTGATATTTCTGTAATCCAGACAAACAGGTATATACAGTAAAAAACTGGTACACACCAAATTTCATGAAGACGGTTATTTGGCGTTAATCTTTCGACCGTCCAAAGGTAGTTTTCAAACCAAAAATTGATTTGGAAAAACAGCGAACCGATAATCCCCAGCTAAGCTTTACCCTTGCGTGCTGCACCCTCCAGAGTTCCATCTTGCATATTAGCTAGACAGCTAAGACTACTCTCCTTCTCTCCCTACACCCGCATTTTGCGCTTGGTGGTTAAAAATATTATGCCACATTAGGAGTGACGGGCACGAACCGAGAGTATTCAAAACTAAGTATGTTACGAGAAATATATGAAAACGGTGACTTTAGTTGCCATGTATACAAATGTAGTAGAACAATGAGGATTCAGTATTGAAAATGCATCTCATAATTCATATACAGAAGCCCTAAAGTTGTCGTTCCTCTACATTTCAGCAACACGCTAATTTAGTTTTGGTTCATGCTTGCCACCTTCAGTCTTGTGGAGTGTATATTCTGACGTAGCCTCAGCGATACATTTTAAACAATAGGAGACAAGAGAACGTAGAGTGGCTCATCAGTTATTGAATCTAAATAGCACAGCAGCTCAGAGTAACGTCGTCCGTCCTCATTCCGTTTTCCTCGGAGAAACGCGGTTTATAAAAAAGTCACGAAAATGTCGCTTTTTCCTTGATTAAAGCTTTGTGACTTACTAGCATAATTTCGGACTCAACAATAATACTTTTGTAAGACCCGTTTTTTATGTTACTTGGCAAACATAATACATCTGATTAAGAGAGATCCCAAAAGGTTCTGGAAACTTGTGCTCACTGTACTGAAAGAAGAGTCTGCTGATATTTATGAAAGCAATCCTTTGTGTCTGCGAAAGCCGTGCGTCTGTTAAAGTCCTTGCTTTTTTCTACGGCTTTTTTTGAGGCGTTATGAGTGAAGTTTCTCTACGTATAATAAGAGCGTTTGTACACCCATTCCACACTGTGGCAAAAGACGAATTGATACCGCAGTACGCATTGTGAATGATGATCCGAGAAGCTGTTGAAATGAAAACTCCAGTGCAAAAAAAGTTGAAAATAAGATAGCGGAATAATAAATATTGATTCTTTTATTTGTCACGTGGATGCCTTCCACTGAGGTTTGTGTACAGGGTAACCGCTATTCTTAACGTTTTCATAAATATATACTTTTAAATTTCCGGATTCCAACTTCATCGAATCCAATATACGAACAATGGCAATAAAGTAAATATACACTGCTAGCTACGAAAAGCCGGACAACGCACCTACTGGTATACTGCGCTGACGCCCATTTACCTATTTCCCAAACTGTGAAAGACACGGGACCAGGAAAACTACCATTCTACCTGTCAGAGTCCCCAGCACACCACATTCAATAAAATCACCAAATGTCATAGACTCTGAAAAGTCCTTCTGAACCTGCTGAAGAAATTCCCAAACTCACAGAGTTTAGAGTATTTGTTAATTATATACGTGTTACTCCCAAATAAAATAATTTCTTAATCTCGTTTTTTGGCAAAATAATGACTATATTTAAAGCACGCTGTTTCAGCAATGTCAACGTGTTATCTTTATTTTTGTTTACCTTTGTTAAGATGAATGAAGAAAGCAGTTTCTGAGAGCTGAGTAGTGCAGATATTTTTAGTTATTGCCCTTTCATTTACTGGTGTTAGTGACTTTGACAGGAGTACAATTATTGCCTATCGAGATGTTGGTTTGTCCTATCGCAGAATTGGCCGCCGTATTAATTGTACTGCACTGACGGTAATGCGTGAGTGTCGTGTGTGGATAGAAGAAGGTAGAGAAACACGAAGGAGGGCAACTGATACCACAGAACGTCAAGGTAGGCGCTTGAGACAACTAGCCCTATGAGACCATTTTGCCACAAATACTACAAAGCTATGGTATGGAAAAGGAGGAGACTTGTTACTATGCGTATAGTCTATCGCTGCAGTCCAGTCCTTGGACTTTTTTCATACCGTCCACGGTTAGTGTTTCCTCTGACTACGGACCACTGTTGTCAACTAATTTTTCTCGAAATGCCATTCAGAATTTCCACAATAATCATATGTGGGCAAAATTAAATCCCTATGCCGTAACCGAAACCCATTTACAACACCAATTTTCGGTTAACGTATCGGCAGGAATTATTGGCAACCACTTTATTGGTCCATTCTTCTTGCCGGGACGACTTGACGGACAGACTTACCTCAATTTTCTTTAACAACAGTTGCCTTTGCTGCTTGATGATATTCCGTTAGTAATAAGAAACAATACGTGGTACATGCATGATAGTGCACCAGCGCATTTCAATGTAGAGGTTCGTAGTTATTTACAAACTGTTTATCCAAATCGTTGGATTGGCCGCGGTGGGCAATTAGAATGGCCACCAAGGACCCTAGACCTCAACAGCTTACATTTCTTTTTGTAGGGCTGTCTTAAGACACTAGTGAACACCAGTCCCTTTAACACTGTAGAGGAATTGAGAGAAAGAATAGTTGCAGCTTGTGATAGAATAAAAAACACTCCAGGGTTATTTCAACGAGTGCGCAATTCCATAAGAAGGAGGGCGGAATCATGCATACTGAGTGACGGGGCCCATTTTCAACAATTTTTGTAATCATTTCATTGGTTTTAATGTTATGTTTATGTTGTTAGTTATTGTTGTTCATTACCCCTAATGTGTTTAATTTTTCCAATTAAATTAAAACCATTGGCGTACCATTTTTTTTTCTAAAAAATATCGAACTCAATAACCGTACGCACGCCACTGTTAAGGCTAAAAATTATTTTGCATTGAAAAATATGCAACTTTATTAACTTTCACTACGTACTAAAAAATATTAATTAAGTTCTATTTTTTTCCTAAAACTTCAACACCCCGAGTCATTGTAAGCAAACTAACATTAATTTTTAATGTAGATTCACACCCTTATATGCTCGCATATCATTAAGGAACACCCTGTACTTCATTGAATATTAAATTAAAATTTCAGCTGATGAGGCTTCAAGATCAGGGGTAAAGCAAAAAAATATTCGGAATCTTAGAAGCAACAATGATCATTGGTTCGCTTGACAACACCGCGTCTTGCTCATTCCAAGACAAGGTTTAAACCTCCATGATAGTCCAGTTCTATAAGCATTTCTTTTTTTCCAACAAGAAGTTGAACACCGGTATTCCAACCACTCTTGTTGATGACTTTACAACAAAGGAATAAAGGGTTTTTCAATAAGGATGCGGTAATGCTGATATGTAATAAGACAAGTGGTGTATGATAATATATTAACGAGGTTTGAATTTCTATTATATGGGAAATGGTATGAAATATGAAATATGCACGCATTCAAGGAGTTCACATTTTAGTAACCGAAGTAGTCACCATCATAGTTTTCGAAAAAATAGAATAAAGAATATTGACTCTAGAGTTCCCACGTAGGAAGATGAGGTCTGATGAGAAATCTCGATCCCGACACGAATTTGCTGTCAAAAACGATGGTTAGTATTTGAATTCACAAACTCGACCTCCAAATAACCTTTGAGAATACAGTCAGTCAATATTTTTAAGAAGCATGGCTGCAATCCATTTTGCTAGCAAACAACTTACCCGCTGATCATGAGATAAATCATTGACAACGACGACCAATTTCTCCGGAACATATTAATTTCGGACGAATCCAGCTTTTCTCTCCATGGACGTCATAACCACCAAAATCTAGGTATTGGTCAAGGTAAAACAAACATTTAAGTTTTACCATTAAGAACGCAGTATCTATAAAAAGTTAATGTTTGGAGGGGTATTTTAGGGGACCACGTTGTTGGACCTTTCTGTATTAATGTTACCTCAAACTCTCGCGTTATGAAATGAAATTATCCAGACTGAGTGTCAGCCTAGATAGTATTTTTGTTGGACGCCTGATCTCTACACATGGCAACATAGACTACCCAGCGAGATCCCCTGACTTGGCGCCTAATGATTTCTTTTTGTGGGGATACGTGAAGATCTGCATTTACGGTTTCCCCCATGCAAGGGCTACCACTTTGAAGGAGTTGAAAATAATAGAAGAATGTCGTTCGGTGACTCATACCATGCTATACAATGATCGAACGGGCTTACAATCGGTTAGGTTACTGTAAAACCCAAGAAGCAGGCCTGTTCGAACATTTAATTTAATATCTTGTTTTCATTTTGATTAGAATTATTTATTTATTTCAATTTAGATGCAACTTTGTGTTTTAACCTCCTTGTCTTTGATTTCCCCCCATGGTGATAAAATCAACACATCCTGAGTTATCGTGCGCGCAAAATGTAAGAAATAACGTTACACAATACAAACTTCCATTTTTTGGACTGTACAAGATGCCGTGTTGACAAACGAACCAATGATGCAATGTTGCAGAATTTGTGACGATCGTAACCTTTCATTTCGACCCAAAATGGAGCTCCTTTAGGACCGATCCGAAACAGATTCTACACAATTCACAATTCAAACATGTGTACGCTCAAAATAAAACTATTATTTTCGGTAAAGAATAAGTAATGCATATTTTTAATATGCATCGTAATTCATGAAACTGGCGTAACATATGGCTTCTATCTCTTTTTAGCAGATGTGCATACGAGGGATGTCTTTTAAGTTTTGCATATAGAAACATAGTAGTTTCACAACAATACGTGCAGTGTTATCACTACAGTGAATTTTTAAGTGTCACCAAGTCATTAGAAAAATGGAACTCAACCGAGAACATTTATTACAGCTTTCAGGGACAATTATCACAACAAGAATGCCTTGCTGAGTTACTGTCTGTTTTCGGCATCGAAGCGCCACATCAGTCGACAATTTCTCGCTGGTATGGAGAACTCAAACGTGGACGGGTGAGTCTTAGCGACGATCCCAGGGTGGGTGCACCAAAAACGGCAGTCACCCAGGAAAACGTCGATGCTGTGCGCAAACTCGTCGTTGAAGATTGACATGTGACATATCACGAGATTGAGGCGTCCTTCAAGATCTCAAATACCTCAATTAAAAAAAAATTTACATGAAGGATTAGGAGTAAGAAAGTTAGTTTCTCGTTGGATACCCCACCTGTTGACTGAAGAGCAGAAAACAGCCAGGGTTAATTGGTGTCAAAAGACGCTTGACCGTTTCAATTTCGGAAACTCAAAAAATGTGTACAGCATTGTTAGTGGATTTACTGTTATGAACCAGAAAATAAATGACAGTCGGCGGTTTGGGTGTTTCAAGGTGAAGAAAGTCCAACAAAAGTCATCCGTTCTCGAAGTGTTTCGAACAAGTCGGTCGCGACATTTGTGTCAAAAGCTGGTCATATTGCAACAATTCCTCTTAATGAGCAAAGAACTGTTACTGCGGATTGGTATACCACCATTTGTTTGTCAAAAGTCATCACCGAGCTACGAAAAATCAACCCCGAAAGAAGAATCATCCTCCACCAAGACAATGCAAGCTCGCACACAGCCCAAAAGACAAGGCAGTATTTAACGGAAGAAAACGTGGAATTATTGGACCATCCTTCATATAGTCTCGATCTAAGTCCTAATGATTTCTTTACTTTCCCGAAAATTAAAAGCAGACTGCGTGGTCAAAGGTTCCAGTCACCAGAAGAAGCAGTTGACGCATTCAAAAATGCCGTTTTGGATCTGCCAGCAAACGAGTGGAATAAGTGCTTCGAAAATTGGTTCGAGCGCCTGCAGATGTGTATTAATCTTCGTGGAGAATAAAAATCGCAGTGCATATAAATCTCACAAATCAAAAATGCACCCACGAAGACTATAAGAATTGTTCACTATACATATGAGATGAGCCGGTTAAGAGTGATATTTTGAGCATGTCTTGTGTCAAGTCCATTACAAGACAACGTATGTTTAAAATTACTGGTATTAACCGAAAGATTTATTCTCCCCCAACAGGAACTAGACAGCTTTTAAACAACAGCTATATTGACAGTTTTTCTATATTTTTGGTTATAAAAATAATAAAAAGAGATAGAATGGTCCATCTTGTAAATAATTTACTTACAATATGGAAAAGAAATTAGGCAAATTATAACACACTTCTTAATAATTCTTCTAACACTTGACAACATTCATCACTCCCCTAATCCAGAAATGCCTACAAGCTCATTTTTGAGTGAAATTTGTTCGGTATAGACTAAAACGGTTATTCCTAGCCCCTGCCATCGTCGCTGATCTTCTGAATTAAGACTACAAAATTTATGTTTGTATTCTTCTGTTGCTCCTCAGAGTGATTGTCTATAATTTTCAAAAGATTTTAATTATTTATCGAAACTGAGCAACTGCTGGCCATCCATAAGGTCTTATAAGGCTTCTAACTCCAGGTGACCCTAAAACAACATTCGCCCTTAGGTATTGACAGATGAATATTTATATAAACCCTTTTTCAGAATTTCATATTCAACTTGTTGCTTCTTTATTTAGATTTGTGGGAGAACAAAATCAATATTTTTCATAGTTGCACTTATTGGCGGGTAATGATTTAAAATTCAATAATTACATAGCTTGAACAACCAATCGTGTTAATGTTAAAAAGTTGTCTGGACTCACCGGAAAGTATAACAAAATCCTTATCGAAAGCCACATTAACAAGCAACCAACATTAAAGAGCTTTCATACTTTTTAGTGCCTTATAGTATATTTTAGTTCATTACAGCTATAACATAGATACATACCTGGACTCTCACAAAGCATAATGAGTTGATCTAATAAAAATTTGATCGGTAACAAGTAGCACTGAACTATACAGCCACAAAGTTACTTTTGATGCGAAACAAGATGAACGCAGTACAAAAGATAAGTTCGAATTCTCTGATCCGATCAACCAGTGAAACGATCTACGCCAAGATTAAAAACTATATGGTTTTCCGAACCCCACCGCGTTTTGCGACACTGATTTGAGGCCGGCTAGATTATAACTTACCTCTCTGTGAGTCGCCAGGACATGCTTCAGATGAAGTGATTTATATATTGTTCAGGTGTCTCAGTACAGGCTAGCGGTTCTTTACTTCAGCGTTTGTGGAGATTGGGGTAAAGAGGTCACCTTTCTTCATACGATGACCCACGCATGCTCAATGGAAAAACGTGTCGAGATCAAGGAGGCCAAGAAAAGGGGTTGACTCGGGCTGGTTTGGGGTAGCTCTAGCAATATCAGAACGGGCGTTATAGGGCTTTCAATCATTTGGAGGAGTGATAAACATTGGAATCTAGTATTTCCTGCATATATTGCTACGGCAATAATAGTGGAAACTAGAAATAAGTAAATACGTTAGCATTTGCGAGTTTCTCCATGACACACTGGAAACTATGTAATATCATTCATTATCCCAATTTTCATCTCTGCTTTATGGTTCCATGATAAGCAAGCACAAATTAGGAGCTGTCTGAGAGAAATAGATAATGGACAGCTTTTATTTGAATCAGTTGCACCGTACTGTTGGAGTTTTGCTTTGAGATATCACTACATATGATGCTGTGACCTGTAGCTTCCAATAGAGAACGTATGACTGCGCAACTGTATATCCTGGAATTACTGGGACGTCACCTTTTACCCTTTTTTCAAACGCTTCTAAGCCTTACTGTCCAACAAGATAACGACCGTCCCCATAGTGGCAGAGCTACTGTAAACCACCTCAACAATGATCAAATGAACCTGCTTTCTTGGCGTTCTAGATCTCGAGACCATTCCCAGTTGAAAATACGCGATATAAGATGGCAAGAAGAGCAACCTATTTACCTCAGCCCACACGAACGTTCGCAGTTCTTAGGGAACAAGAACAACTAAGGGGCTCATTTTTTAAGTAAGAACCGTTTTGCAATGGAATTACAGAAAAATTATTCATTAATGCATGTCAATAATCTCTGTCTGTCGGTCTGTACGCTAATCTTCTGTATTGATGAGTATTTGGCAAATAACTTTAGTGATACGCTTTTGTAAATGTTCCTATTATTTTTTATTCTAGTCGGCCCCACGCTTCCGCAAGTGTGCATATTTATTTTTCTCAGTTCCATTTTCCGCTTGTGTGTTTATACCCGTATTTATTATACTCTCCCGCAATTGCGGCTGTGTCAATGTCCTTATTTATTTTACTGTGTTTGGCTTTCGCGCTTATTCTGTATGTCTATATGTGTTATAGTTTACTGTTGTTGAATTTTAATGCCCCTGAGAGCAGAGACATGTACTTTCAACATGTACTCTTTTGACGTGTGTAAACACATTTGTGTAAGAACAACAATAAATTATGATCTGGATTATTATTATTATAACCGCCTATAACTTGAGAAATACCGCTCGGATTTCGATGAAATTTCCACACAATGTTACCACTACTCCAAGAACACAAAAGCTCTGTAGTTTTTTAAAACCGTTCCAGTGACGGCAGAGAGAAAGGCTTAAAAGGAAAAAAGTAAAAATAGCTGAAACTTCTTGATCATCTTTTAAAAAAACTCTAGAGGCAAAAAAACTTGGGGGTGGAATTATAAGTAGATGTGTAGGGCTCATTTCAATTTGATGCTGGTGGACATATTTCACACATCATTGAGTTTCATTAGTCCTGAAAATTATAACTGAAAAATATTCTCGGGAGACCGATCGCGTACCTACCGGCTGCGGCTGCTGCTGGTGTGATGTGCCGACCGTGATGAGTGTTCTTGTATAGAATCACATGAATTTTTGACGCGCAACAGCATAATGTCTTCTGTGACCGCGCTACCACGATGCCACAACGGTCCGAGAGTCTAGTTTGTGCTGAAAATATCCCTTCATGTACTGATAAGGGCGTTGCGTGGTAAGTGCAATGTCAACCTACTTGACAACATTTGTTAACATAGTCACCATAAACATTCGTCAAGTTGTGGCAGCAGCTTTCGTATCCCGTCGCCATACGCTGCCATCTGACCGTTAAACCAGTTAGTAACTGTTTCATCCAACATTCCATCATTTTACAAGCGCTTTCTATCAAGAAAGTCCTCAAGTTTTGGAATTCGCAACGAAACTTGTCCTGTTGAATCTGTAGTCTTGCCGCAACGAGAGGCCAAACGTTGTCGTGTAGAGGAACGACGTCTCTAAAGAACAGGCACGGCTGGAGGTTTTGAATAGCAGAATACCCCATCTAATTCAACAAGCTGCTGGCGAGTTTCAGCAGGAATCTTATTGGCATTTGAATATCAAATAACTGAGCGCATTTCACAATCTTGGACAGATTGCTTCGATGCATTGCAATGTGAATCTTTCTATTGCAGGCAAACAAATTGAGCATGTCCCTGGCGTGCGTTATTTTGGTGTAATATTTGATGAACACCTTACCTTTCATGATCATGTTTCCATTGCTGTTCAATGCGAAGTTGAAATCCGTTTAAAATTTTAAAAATATCTGCCTAAAGATTTCAAAATTAAGCTCACTAACAGCCTCATCCTAAGCAGGCTGGGGTATGACGAATATATTATTGGTTCTGTCTTATTCAACAGGACGCTTTCCAAATACAAAAAGTCCAAAACAACTGTGTACGCTATATTTTAGGAATCTCGAGAAGAGAAAGAATTTCCAGGCATCTTAAGGATATACAATGGCTTACAATGCATTAGCAATGGGTAGTACACCTACTACAGGGCAACCTTTCTGTAAACATTTTTCTTCTGTGTGACAATCTGCAAGCTACTTTAAAATATCTGCTGTTGCAATCGTTCAAAATTGAGATTAAAGAATTCATTTTCAACGATTTTACATGTTGTTATATATTTTAGATTTTTTTAACTTGATTTTTCCTAGGTGGTAGACGGTCTCTGACTGTCGAACGCGGAGGTACCACCCGGCGGATCTCGTAGGCGGAGCCAGAATGTGTGCATGTTGCATGCACACGTGTTTCCTCGCTGAAGTCCGTGTGGCGTCCCCCCTTTCCCCTGTATCCCCCTATAGCCCCACGGTACCCAATGGGTGTTTAGGCCTTAGGCCTGCATGGTAGTCGGAGTATAAAAAAAACTGACCTGTTTAAATACTAGTTTGTGTAATACATATCCATCTTACGTTGCTGAGATAACTGTACTATTTTGTGTTTCATGTATTTTTTGCCCTGGTTGGTACTGAAAAGCAGCTATTAATCTGAATACCTGCCAGGTAAATAAAGGCCTTCTGTCATTATTATGAGCCAGTATTCTACTAAATTTTTCATTCGACCTAAACCTATCAAATTGAGGTAGGTCTAATCTCTGCAGATAAGTCAAACTTTTCCGATTCATTGGTCCAAAGTTAATTTCAAATACGATTTGGCGCTGGGTTGAACTTCATTTAATAAGTCGAAAGTTTGACAGAACTCCAGCAAAAGGAGGGCAAGTGTTTGCCATTTGGAAGGGTGTCCCTACGAAACAGCGATTACTATTGAAGTCTTCAAATGAGGGTACGGGGGAGAAAGTTAGCGGGAAAATCAGCTAATGTGATTTCATTTCACTAAGAAGGGTAAAACACGGTAACTTAATCACAATTTATATCAAAGATTAGTCGATTAGAATTCATCATCCTAGGTCCATGTTTTATGATTCTGAGGACTAAGAGAAGGTACTCAGGTTGATTGCTTGATGAACGCGGTGATCGTAAAATATTATTAAAAGGTGAGTCGAGCAGATTACGTCACTAATTACCATTTTATGAACGTTTGACCTATCTTTAACTTTTCAGATATAAGGCGGTAAAATTTACAAAGAGATATTATTT